ACCACGGTGACCAGAAGGATGGCAATATACTCAACAGAAATTGTGAAATTGGCAGGAAGGGTGAAATTCCATTATCTGAACATAATTTCCTATCATTCCATCTCTCCTAATGCCTTATTCCCCTAAACCTATTCTACATCCTCACCATAACCACCAACCCCTCCATTCCTCAGCACTTTCCCAAACCATCATGTCTGATCTGACTTTGCTTTCCTTCCTTCCCAATCTTGACCCTACAGTTAACCAGTTCAACTACACGCTGTCCTCAGATCCCTTTCCCTGCTGTCCTTTTGCTACTCCTTCTTGCCAAATTCCAATCTTGAATTACTCCCACACTACCCATTCTCCACTCATAGTCTCATGCTGCTGGATGAAGCTGGAAGAAGTCATACAACTGCGGTGACCAAGTACCTGGCAAATTTATGTTATCTAATCTTATCCGGTCCCTCATTACAATAAGGCAATCCTTTTACTTATTCCTAATTGATTTTCTATTGCACTTCTCATAAGAACTCTTCTAAAGCTTCCCTCCTCTTCACAGGACTCCCACCCTATCCCTACACATCACCCTCATACTTTAATGAGAAAACAGAGATTATTTACAGCAAATTTCTTACATCTCAAAACTCTTGATATTTCCCATTCTCTCTTCCTTTACTCCAATCTCTAATGAAAAGGTGGACGTTGTCACCAATGTCAACTCCTCTACATGTACTTTTGATTCCATCCTCTCCTGTCTTCTCCAGCATATTACTCTCATAATCATCCCCTGTCTCTCTGATCTTCAGGCTCTATCTTGTGGTTCCTTCCATGCTGTCTATAACTACTCACAGCTCTCCACCATCTTGTAAAAAAAACTTCACTTAACCCCACTGACCCCTCATGCTATATTCTATATCAAGTGATAAATATTTCATACATTCCAACTCCTAGAAAAAATTGCCTATACTTACTTCTTTCATTTCCTCTCCTTTCATTCTTTTTCAGCCTTTCACAATCAGGCTTCCATTCACACTCACCTGAAATTGCTCTCTCTAAAGTTACCAGTGCTCTCTTAATTGCCAAATCTATGACTTTTTTTTCATTCTTTATCCTTCTTGACCTCTCTTCAATTTTTGACACTTGTCAACAACCCATGCCTCCTGGACATTTTCCTCCCTTGGCTTTGGTGACCTTGTTCTCTCTAATTTTTTTTTTCTTGTTTAGTCACTACTCCATAGTCTCTTTTCTTTGCTGGACCATCACCTTCCTCTCAGCCCTTAAGAGTGGGTGTTCCCCAAGACTCCCTCCTGAGCCTCCACACTCACTCACTTGGTAGCCTAATCAGCTTCCATGGGTTTAATGATCATCTCTTCACAGATAACTCATAGATCAATATATGCAGCCCTAGACACCCTTCTGAGCTTCATTCCCACATCATCAACTGTCTATTAAACATTTCAAACTGGATGTCCCATAAATATCTCAAATTCAACATATTATGGAAGACAGAATTTATTTTCTTTCCCTCAAAACCCACCCTTCTTATAAACTTCCCTATTTCTCTCAATAGCATTACTATCCTTTCACACTGACAGTCTCAACTTCAGTATCATTCTTGATGCCTCACTTTCTTTTACCCCATATATCCAATGAGTCACCAAATCTTATATATCCTTTCTCTAAATTATCTCTAACATCTCTCCCCTTTTCACCACTTACTCAGCCACTACTCTTAATTTAGGCTCTCAGCATTCTGGACATGGATTGTTGTAATAGTTTTCTAATTGATGTCCTTGCCTCAATTCTCTTCCTTCTCTAATCCAGCCTCCACACAGCTGCCAAAGGGATTTTCCTGAAGTGAAGATCTGATATCATCATTCCTTTACTTAATGACCAATTAATCAACAAACACTTAATTAAGTACTTACTGTGCCAGCCACTTCATATGACTGATATGAAGAAAAAGTAAAAGCCAGTCCCTGCCCTCACCCTAATAGAGAAGCTTACATTCTAAAGGATAAAGTCCAGTGTCTCCTTATTACTTCTAGAATCAAACAGAAATTCCTTTGCTTGGGATTTAAAACCCTGTATTACCTGGCCACAACCTATTTTTCTAGTCTTCCTTATACATTACTCCCTGTCATGGGCTTTATGTCTAGCCAAACTGGTTTTCTTACTATTACTTACACATGGCATTCCATCTCCTGTCTTTGTCAGAGTCAATCTAGTATAATAGAAAGCATGACGAACTAGGAGCATTGAATGTGGAGTGATGGGGCCTGAATTCAGAGTCTGGCCCTGCTGTTTATTACTTCTGTATGACCTCGGGCAAAGTGACTACCCTCTGTGGTCTTTGGTTTTCTCATCTGTGAGATGAGGGGTTTGGACTAAATTACTTCTGAGGTTTCTTCCAACTCTAGATCTATGATTCTATGATCCTTTGCATTGACTGTCCCTAATGAATAGAATGCATTCTTTCCTCATTTCTGTCTCTCTGAATCTTTAGCTGCCTTTAAAACTCGGCTCAGACATCACCTTCTATGGGAAGTCTTTCCTGATGACCTTCATTGCCTCAAAATTCACTTTGTATTTATTTTCATATATAGACGCTGGGGCTACTCTCCCAACCCTCATGGCCACTGGGTAGCAAGTCACATCCCCAAAAGGTGGCTACTTCTCCCCTCACAGTTCTAGGGGTAGCATTGAGTGGTTAGGAGTGGCTTTCTAATGCTATAATTCAAGATCCCCCACTAGTTTGCCTTCTCCCATGTTTTATTAGTTGATATCAATTAGTCAGACAGACAATTAGCTTTTAGAAAGAGATATTATTATAGCAGTATAGTAAAAATAGTTGGTAAGAATATCTCCCCAAAAGTCTATGACACTTTTCTATGAGTACATACAGAGCTCGGGGGAAAGTGGATTCAAACTTAGAGCACCTGTGACAAAAAGAATAACATAGCTCCCAGTTGCTGGAAGTCCTTTTCTTGCCTTTGTAGGGTACTCATGAAGTTCCCCTTAGGTATGATGTAACTTTTCTTCTGGGTTTCTTATAGAACCTTGAATCTGCCTTTCTTCCTTCATGTCTAATTTCTTCTTGACTCATGATGCACACGCAGCATCAGGCTGGTACTATTCTTCAGACACTGCTAGGACACTAACAAAAAAGTCCAAATCTTCTGGACCATTGAAGTCTACAAAGTCTTCTTCCAGACAAAATGGGGAAGGGGAAGTAAACAAGTTCAAAGCCAAATCCTGAATTTTTCTCTGTCCTTCCCCTTCTTGGGGGCTTGACTTTCTCTCGTTTTTGCTGTAGACATTCAAATCCTTAATTCTAAACTGGCTTCATATTTTACAGTTGATCCACAGAGTGTAACCAAGTTTTCTCAACTAATCTGGGTATACTTCCTGTTCAATGTCACTCTGGTTTAACCAATGGCTTTCAAAGACATTCTAATTGATCAAGAACTTTTTTGCACTTAGTCTGAAGCTTATGGTT